GCCTCACCTGAAGTGTTTGCGCGTAAGTAAATGACGACCGAGTGCACTCAACTGATGGGAAAATGATCGGATGCTTGTCAGTTGAAGAGAGTGTTATTGCTTGCTAACCGATCGTACCTCCAATAGTTTCGTTTTACTCGTCTCTCTCTCTCTCTCTCTCTCTCTCTTGCTCCCCCTCTCATAATTCTGCATGATAATTTTCTGTATAGGTGTGTATGTGCGTGTATAACGTGTCATGTACATGATCCGCGCTAAAGTTATCTTTGGGCTGGAATTAAGCGAAGCGACTAACTCGTGTGTGTGTGTGTGTGTGTTTGCGCGTATATGTGGTGACTCGCTGCGTACGTGTGCCGTGTAACGTGATATCGGGTTTTAGCGGAACATCGAACGGTCGCATTATATCACTTGTAATAATTAGAGACCATCGTTTCACAGATTTCCTTAATTAAATGCACTGCGTGGTGATTATTGAGTGAATGTCCGAATATCGGAAGATATGATGGATGCCGGTTCGTCCGAGTGTATCTATTTAGACGCAAATAGTGTGAACGAGCGTTATGGAACAGTATCGAAGTAAAAGAGCACTTTCAGGAAGGATATTATATCATATCCGGAAACATTAATTCATATTTCAATTCATATTTATTTTGCATTAATTCGCGAAATGTGTAAATGAAGATCTTATGAACAAAGTGTAAACAATGATTCGTTCATCCGTAGACACTCTACACAAATTTTATGATGATAGAATGGAGTTTGTGAAGTGTTATTGGAACATTTCTGTTCCCTCTTCTTTCTCCTCTCTCTCTCTCGCTTCTACTCCTTTAACCTTTCTCTTTCTCTCTCTCTCTCTCTGTCTCGCGGATATTACCCGCATATTTACGATGATCGATTTCCTATTGCATAACGGGATCGGATTATAAGTTACTGCCGAACGTAGTTCGGATTTATCGCCGGTGTCGACGGAATGGGGATTCAATCGCGACAGTTTTAAGTAATCTAATCACGGGAAGAGAGTTATCGCATAACGGTCGCGGCGGGACTGCGAATCGACGGCGGGATGCATTATCTAATTCGCGCGCACGCGCGCTCATATATGGCGTGCTAATTTCCTATTGCTTTCGAAACTCGATAGATGATCCGTTATCGAGACGCGCTGCTGTCCGATGTCACCGGCCGATTGAAACAATGCTAAAAACGATGACCCACTTAGGCCGAAAGGATCCACGTGGAACAATCGCGAAAAATGTCCGTTTGAAGGACGCGCGTCTCTTCGTGCCGCACGAATGTACGATTTCTCGCCTGCCGTTCAATCAAAGATTTATTTGCAAAATCGCGCGATTAAAAGCATCCTAAACAATTCTGACGTAAAACTTTACGTCAATTCGATAAAAAAACGATCTGAGAGAAGTCTCTTATTTTGTTCGTTCG